CGGGAACCGTTTCCCAGGTGTTCTTCGATCCGGCATCACTGACCACCTCTACCTTGACTATAATGGACTGATTTGCGGAGCTCCACAACTCAGCTGAAGTACTCTACCTCAAAGCGAAGTTGTGGTGCCAGGTGGCGCCGATTTCTACTCGTGTTATACGAATGCACTCTATCCTCCTATAGTCTACTAATCCATTCCATACTAGTCTAAGACAAAAAACACCGAGTTCTTCATCACTGGAACAGGGTCAACCGTCACGTTCGAACATTTTCGGGATTTTTGCGACCCCCCCCCTCTCGAGAGGGTCCAGTTGCGACCCCCCCAACACACAGTTGCGACCCCCAATACAACCAGCCTTCCTCCACCGCGACCTCTCCCTCTTCTATAGTATTTGATTCTGAGACCAGTTGACACAGCCCAAAACTAATCACCAAGGCGCGCAATGCGACCAATGCGACCCCCCTCCCTTCCCAGACACACAAATGCGACCCCCCCCGTTCGAACTGTTCGAACGGACGGTTGACCCTGCCTGGAGGTGAATTGTTATTCAAGCCTTCGCGTTACAGTGGAAGTGATGCGCGTGGCGCATACTTGCGAGAAAAGCCTCGTCCCATCACTTTACCCACATGTGAACTTTGTGACGGATCATCACAGGGTAAAGGTCAAAATCAGACTAATTTCAGAGATCAACGCACCTGTACGCTTGCTGGCCGCCGTCTGTTGAAGTCACAATGTGTTATGCGTGGGAAATGTCCCGTCACCTAAAAAATGAATAATAATTTCCAGTCTTTTTTTAACTTTATTTTTTGAATAGTTTCTCAGGGTTAAGCACCAATCGTGCATGTCACCTAAGCACTGGGATCAAGCCCTCAGAACACGACAGCGCTGAGTAGCGCACGCGTCTGAGCTCAGCACTTTCTGCATCTTGTACGTTCACGACATCGCGCAGACAAAGATAGAAAGGTTCCGATTCGCAAATATGGAGGAATATTCGAAGAGAAATCGCGGCAAAAAGGTAAGAGGTAAAGAGTACGTGCACGTTCCTCAGTTGAGAAATAAGGTTTTATACTTTAAAAATCCAGGAAAATTCGTATCAGTTCTACTAGGTTGATCTCATGTGCTACCAGGACCAGTACCGCTTGTAGATGTCGTGAGCTCGCACACGAAAATATGTGAACGCTGATTCCCAAACTTAAAGGCACACTCCACAATACAGGATACGCGTAGTAGGGGATCAACAGTCACTTGCTGCCTGAATAGACATTGAAACGAAAGTAAAGGAAACTGTCGTAAACGCTTTTAACTAAGCGCCTTTTCAAAGCTGATCTGCGAATGTTGCACAACACAGAGAATTCGCACAGAGAGTGTGTGCAAGGGCAAGAGACTCAGACAACCATGGCATAAGAGAGCATAGAGACGCGAGGGCCGCAGAGAGTGGTAGGGTGGGAGGAAGCGGATCCGACAATGTTGGAGCCTAGTCTTAAACTTAAACGTTTCTCATGGAATGCGGTCCGAATCAGATCGTAGTAGAAGAATCTGGGCTATTTTGACTACCTATTGCTCACCTGCCAATCGTCTCCACGTATCAGATCGTGGATAAGTGCCGGTCCCCAAAGTGTGTAGAGGGGTGACTGTAGCAGCGAATTCAAGCACAACCACTGAAATGAACGGTGACGTAACCAGCATGGACTGGTGCGCGACTTTTGGGACAGCCACCTACCTGTACCCATGCATTTATCGTCTGTATCACTGTTGAAACAGTATAGTAAAGTGCCATTTCTTGGCTATTTTTGTTTCTGGCCAACCGCAACCCGTCCCATATGTAGGCTGATGCCCGACCTTCGAAAGCGGCTATGCGGGCTAAATTTGACAAAATTGAAAATTTGGAGATTATTGACTGAATTTCACAACAGCTCGCCCACCTTTGAAAAGTCACATCGTTGGTCTTCACCGTGGTCCAAAATGCGTCCACGTACTGAATCGCACCGGCAAGGTCATATCCTAAACAGTCCGTGGCTTCATTCAAAACGATCGTTTATCGATTAGTAGCCGAATATTGATTGAGTAAATCGATACCGCTAATGGAAATGAGTGATTTCCAGATGAAGCGAGGCATGTAGAACAGAAACGCTTGAACGGCAAGGATATATGGCACCTGCAAAATTTCAGTGCACAACCACTCTGGAATTGAGCCAAGGCAGCCCGTTGTATAAACCACGGTAGAAACATCAAAACGAACTCAAAAATCGATATTTTCCCATATGTTCAGCAAGCATGATAAATTGGTCGGCGTCGGGAATGAACCAGGTAGGGAACGGGGCGCAACTTAAACCTAAAAATTAGCTCCGACCCCGACGACAGTTGGCCCTTTTGCCCGTGGTTGCCGCGCTGGACGCATATTCTACAGATAGCTGCCCATCATAACACGCTCTGACCACTTCTGCCCCAGCAGCTAGATCCGACGAGGACCAACCTGCTGCCGCCATCGGAAAGACAGGGATAACCCGTCGGACGAACGCTCCGCGTGGCAAGGAAGGCAGAGACGAGTCGCGCGCGTACTATAGGGATTTAGCGTCAAGTTAAATAGAGTATCTCCCTGCACGTCCTACATCGCACACCACGCGCTGCAACTCGTCCGCCGACTCTGCCTTCTTGCCGCGCGACGGGCCTCCTGGGGGGTACCCCAAAAGGCAGGCAGAGGCACGAAGACGTTCAGAGGGGCAAGTAAAGCCTTACTCGCCACCATGGGGCTGCTTTCCCACACAAAATCGCCAAGCTCCGTTCCTCCAAGGGTTTAGAATTGCCTCACAGAGGACAGACTTCTCCTTCTTTGACATCCAATTTATCGCACCATATGCCTTTAATGTTTCGGAACAACTATCAATGAGAAGCTGTGCCTCTTCGCTGTAGGTTCAGAGCGACTCTGAGACGATGGGTGACTTATAAAAAGCCCTTTCCATAGCCCTCCCAGTTCCTTTAACAGTCAAATTCCGGCATTTCAGCCCCAAAAAAGCTCTTAAAAATCGAGTTAATCTAGAAAATCGGATATTGTCAGGCAAACAGGAACACTCAGATTTGGTTCACGCAACACCCTCAGCAGAAGTCGTGTCGAGGAATATATATTAAGTGTGTGAAATAGGGGACCCACGATATTACACATGTGCCGTGAATCCTACCGCATTGTCGTGGCTTGAAAGTGCGCGACAATGACGTTAGGTTTTACAAAGTCAGCATTTGGCGACTAATCTTAGCATTTGGACGAGTTACGTAGCGCACACCCCATGACACGCAACGTGGATTACGGCGTAGCGGCTAATTCAAAACGCGCGGGTTAGTTGAGCCATGCAGGCAAGTTCGTACAACTCGTCCGGCCCCGCCCCTTCCTTTTCAGAGGGAATTTGTTTTGGGCTTCATCGACGGTTTTCTTTGCTTCTTTTTTCCATTTTTAGTCAATTCGGCATAGCAACTTCATTATTAACCGCTGTGACCCCACACTTCGACCTGGGGGTGTTGCTTCAAGTCAGTATTCGCAAAAACCGAACACCTTACGCGTTCGCGTCCCAGAGTGGCAGGGTATTATGCGATTTTAAGATAAAGGTAGATTTGCAAAAAATCACACATCGAAACTTAACTGAGCTAGAAAGGTAAAACTGACCCACTGGTAATAGTTAATGGGGATCTTCCGCCGTTCTGAGTCGTTGTAGGGAAGAGATTCGTTCAGTGAAACGAAATACGTACCGTGAACATAGCAATATTGATTAACAAAATCTGACCTGAAAATCGATTGTATAGGTAAACAGGCTAACCAAGAGCGAGTTCTTCATGATGACCAATCCAAAACTATTTGAAAACTTGAAATAAAG